CTAAACTGAGTTGACACAATTAATCTTATAATGCTCAGAGCTCCCTTCATTCCCCTTTCTCCAGATCCAAACTGACGATCTCCCATGAGAGTTTACATCTTTCCACTCACTCGGCAAAAATTCTCACCATAGCCTTTGATGCATGGGCAATCAGACAAATTGTACAAAATGTCAGAGCATTAACAAGGTTTTTTCAAGGTTTTTCTCACGCTGGTCATCATTGTTAGCATAAAGCCCTCTAGCAATTCTCCTGATCAGTAAACATCTTTGCACAACTTAGTAAATATTGATGCTACATTCTTTCCTATGTTTTTAAATGAACTTTGTGGGTAATCTGTTTATTGCTGCTCTCATCTTGCTCAGTAGCATCTTTGGAGCAATTAAACTGATGTTAATATTACTCTTTTCCAGCTCAAATCACTTCAGGCCCTTTTATTTTTTGCATTTAGCTCTTCAAAATGTTTCTTCCATATTTTTTCTCATTTCACCAGGATTTGTTAATAACGAGCTCCCTCTCCATTTGAGAGTTTTCAATTCTTTATGCTGATTACTTTATTTTTGCAGATGTAACGTCTACTCTTCCCAACTGATCCAATTCCTCAAGGTGTATCCCACTTCTTTTAACCATTATTTTCATGTCATTTTGTTTCTCTTCCTAACTCTTTATTTGGATGTCTGCATTTCAACTTACATTTTTCTGTAGATAATCTAGAAAGTCTGTCCCCATCAAAAAAAATGTACAAATCTGTCTCTGCAAATGGTTTAATCTACCAATCTGGCCTAAAGCAGGAGTATCATTCAAACTGCTTATTGTCAATCTTCAACCTCAACGTTTAATTAGCTGGCAGGACTGTGACTTAAATAAAGAGCTTGTACTTGTAATGTGGGCCAAAAATCCCCATCAGTTGTTGGACATACCCTGGGCTTAGAAACCCTCTCAAGGGAGAAGCTATGGGAATTACAGTATATTGGATTAAAGTCACGGGGACTCCAGGAACCAAGGGTTGCAGTTGAGCCAGGAAAAGGCTGGCTGGAACAGACTGAGGAATATACAAGCCCAGGGGCAGATGTCTGGTACAGGGGCTAACTAAGCAAAACCTCCCATTCATGCCTCAGCTAAAATAATGCAAGCCAGCCTACAGGAAATAAACAACCTCAACAATTTCAGACTCTTTGCAGCCTACACAGTTATCAAACCATTCACTTCCAAATCAGTGCTCAGGCACAAAGTTACTGAACATTCCACGCCATTGTGTTACATGAAAACCTGTTTCACCTTAGAACCTTCACACCACTATGCGAACTGAACAGACACCCATCCAAAGGAAATGCCGGACATTGCAAATCCATCAAAACCATTCTTTCCAAACGAAAATGATTATCACTCACTCCAGTACTCAGGAAACCTTTTCAACCCTGGAAAGAGGAACAATAGCTCACGGATTTGACGAAAGATAAGGAGGGCTTGCAGTGGGGTATAACTGGAGACCCTGAGGCCAGCAAAGGAGAGAGAGTGAAGTGGAAGGTGCAGCAAAAAGTGAAGGAAAAAGGAGAGAGAAGCGGCATGGTGGCTCAGTGGCGAGCACTGCTGCTTCACAGCACCAGGGACCCGGGTTCGATTCCACCCTCGGGCAACTGTCTGTGTGGAGTTTGCACATTCTCCCCGTGTCTGCGTGGGTTTGCTCCAGTTTCCTCCCACAGTCCAAAGACGTGCAAGGCTAGGTGGATTGGCCATGCTAAATTGCCCATAGTGTTCAGGGATGTGTACATTAGATGGGTTACAAGGGAACGGGTGTTGATGGGATGCTCTGAGGGCTGGTGTGGACTTGTTGAGCCGAAGGGCCTGTTTCCATACTGTAGGGATTCTATAATAAAAAGAAAAGACAGCGAGAATGTGAGTGGGGCACCGTGAAACCAGTACAGCGAGACCAACTGCTGAAAACTAACTACAAACCTCCACTCGATGCCCAGAGGCGACTGAAGGCATCTCGAGATATGACACACCAACCGGGGCAACACCAGGAACATTCTCCACCAGCCACAACAACTACCCACTCGCAAAACCACCAGGAGGAGAACAACCAGAGTACTCACCAGGCCAGTCCCACGTGTCCAACGGCATTGACAGACACCGCCCAACTATTATCGGTACCTGCGGCTCTTTGAAGAGTCCCAGCTACAGCAAGCGACTATGGACAGAGCCAGTCAAAATCACGGTTTTCACACCAGGGGTGAGTCTAAGGTCATTGAGATCTCTAACCCAGCTGGGCTAGTCATAGACAAGGAAGGGGGGCGTTTGGGGTCAACGGTGTAGGGCACCTCCGCGGAAGGAAAGTGGGTTAGAACAGGTATCTCTCTCTCTCTTTTCCCCCATTGGTATAGTAACAGTCACTCATCGTGTTTATTTTACCCATTGTATTTAAATTAACTGGGAGACAGTCTCAGTCAGAGATTGAGTGGGGGGTTTCAATTTGTTATTCACTTTCTTTTTTTGTAAATATATTAATTTTGCTTGTTTGTTCAATAAAATCAGAGTTTTCTTGGTTTCTGAAACATCTGTCTCCAGTGTTTTTCCACCACACCACATTACACACATAAGCCCAGTGTCAGAAGCAGGGAGCTAGTAAACAGTGAACCAAGCAGCACTCCCTATAAATTCCTTGTTATAGAAGATAACTAAACAAGGCCAAATCAAAGAAAAAAAAGCAATCTGTGTTAATGCCAGTGCCTAATAGCAACTCAGGGAACCAGGACACATTGAAAATACCAGAACCAGGTCTGGGCAAATAGGCAATGCAGGGTAAGAAGGAAGATTTGTGAATTACATGTTTAAGGGCATGATATTGTTGGTCATTTGAATATACATAATATGTTTGCATGGGTACTTTGTCCCTCATCTAAAATATACAAAAACTTACCCTGTTGCATTGAATATAATTTCCTCAGCCTCTCATCCTTCACTTTCTACTACTGAAGGTGCATGAATGGATGACATTGCAGAGTAGAACATAGAACATAGAACATAACAGCGCAGTACAGGCCCTTCGGCCCTCGATGTTGCGCTGACCTGTGAAACCAATCTGAAGCCCATCTAACCTACACTATTCCATAATCATCCATATGTTTATCCAATTACCATTTAAATGCCCTTAAAGTTGGCGAGTCTACTACTGTTGCAGGCAGGGCATTCCACGCCCTTACTACTCTCGTGAGTAAAGAACCTACCTCTGACATCTGTCCTATATCTATCACCCCTCAATTTAAAGCTACGTCCCCTCATGCTAGCCATCATCATCCGAGGAAAAAGGCTCTCACTGTCCACCCTATCTAATCCTCTGATCATCTTGTATGTCTCTATTAAGTCACCTCTTAACCTTCTTCTCTCTAACAAAAACAGCCTCAAGTCCCTCAGCCTTTCCTCATAAGACCTCCCCTCCATACCAGGCAACATCCTGGTAAATCTCCTCTGCACCCTTTCCAATGCTTCCACATCCTTCCTATAATGCGGTGACCAGAACTGTACGCAATACGCCAAGTGCGGCCGCACCAGAGTTTTGTACAGCTGCAACATGACCTCATGGCTCCGAAACTCAGTCCCTCTACCAATAAAACCTAACACACCGTATGCCTTCTTAACAACCCTATCAACCTGGGTGGCAACTTTCAGTGATCTATGCACATGGACACCGAGATCTCTCTGCTCATCCACACTACCAAGAATCTTACCATAAGCCCAGTACTCTGTATTCCCGTTACTCCTTCCAAAGTGAATCACCTCACACTTTTCTGCATTAAACTCCATTTGCCACCTCTCAGCCCAGCTCTGCAGCTTATCTATGTCCCTCTGTAACCTGCAACATCCTTCCACACTATCCACAACTCCACCGACTTTAGTGTCATCCGCAAATTTACTAACCCATCCTTCTACGCCCTCATCCAGGTCATTTATAAAAATGACAAACAGCAGTGGCCCCAAAACAGATCCTTGAGGTACACCACTAGTAACTGAACTCCAGGATGAACATTTCGCATCAACCACCATCCTCTGTCTTCTTACAGCTAGCCAATTTCTGATCCAAACAGTAGCTTTTATGGTTCACGTATAGATTCAATGCTTATTCTTAAAATAAAGCTTAATGTTAGCATCAAACATTAACATTAAAGCAGATTAAGTATAGGTAACGAAATGATGTCCATACGACTCAATGGGCCTCTTCTGTATTGAGAAATTTTTTATGATTCTATGTGCTTGAAAGAACTTAAAATTGAAATAAAAAGATTTGCCCACTTGGATTAAGACAAATCCATCACAAAGAATAGCCGTAATAATTTAAAAAGTAAATTAAATCAGAAATTAAAAAAATTCCCAATGGATTTGTGATGAGATCACATCTAAACACAGTTACATGTCTTGAAGAGATCACCAGTTTGGTGGATGAGATGGTGCGCACATATGTCGTGAAATACACTTGCAAAATTGCAGAAATAGAGATAATCATGTGACATGAGTAAATAATTGTTTAGAAAGGGAGAGGGAAATTGGGGATAAAGGTTTAGGGGCCATGTGACCACCACTCCCCACGGTTTTGTACAAGATAATAACTTTTTACCCACACCATCAATGAAGTTTGCATGTCAAGTCAACTGTAAACTTGGATATGCAATAGGCATTAATGAATAAACATGCTAGGAGGCAAATCCGGTTGTGTAAGCTACATATAATTTGCTATTAAAATACTGTCTAAAAACATTTCTATAGTTTTAAATACAATTTTACCTCCTTATTGAAACAAAGTGTGACATTTCTTACTTTAGAAATAATATTACGAAAAGGCTTGCACAAGACAAACAAACTCTCAAAAATACAAAACTGCCGGAGGTAACACAGATGTCAGTTGGTGGCAGATTGACTGACTTCATGACCAATGCTGGAGAGCATATCAGTAAACTGTGTCATTAAGCCTAGGTCATTAACCAGCCCAAAATATTTTCAAGGATACAAGACATGAGAATCACGGCCACTCAGAGACGCCCAGCAAGCTGCAGTCCCCTGAAAAATTAGCAATAGTTAAAAAAATTCTATTATTTTATTGAAACACCTTCCACAACACAGGTTAAATAAGTAACATACCATTTACTATCGGAGTAGTTGAGATCAAATAATCACAACACTTATCACCATTTTTGTTGTATTGTATCGTCTCCAGCATAGATTTAAGGTGAGAGTGGTAAACTTTAAAGGAGGACCTGAGGGGCAACTTCTTCACACAGAGAGTGGTGCATATATGAAATGGGCTGCCAGAGAAAGTGGTTGAGGCAGGTACAATAGCAAAATTTCAAAAATATTTGAATAGGTACATGGATGGGCAGGGTTAGAGGGATACGGACCAAATGCGGGCATTTAGAACTAGCTGAGTGGGCACAATGGTCAGCTTGGACCAGTTTGGCCAAAGGGCCTGTTTCCACGCTGTATTACTCTATGATTCTAAGATAGTGCCAAGCACGTTTACTGTTCCAGTTCAGTATTAGAATCTGTGTGGATCTAACAAAATTAAATAAACCAGTGGAATATGAGATTCACACAATGGCTTTGGTGGATGCAAATCTAATATAACTATCACTAGAGGAAAAAATACTGGGGAAACATTATGGGGTCACAGATCAATAAGGCCTTTGGACTTAGTGAGATGCATCTTGGGTTTTAAAAGAAGTAGCTGCAAAAATATTGGATGTACTTAGCAATCTTCCAAGAATTCTTACATTCCGGAAAGCTCCAAAGAATTGGAAATCTGTCAATACAACACCATTAGTCAAAAAGGGAAGATAACTAAAAAAAAAAGTTAACTATAGGCTAGTTAGATTAGCATCTGTTATTGGGAAAATGTTTATTATAAAGAATGCAATAGCAGTACATTTTAAATTACATAACATAATCAAATTGAGTCTGCATGGTTTAATGGACAAATCATGCCTGGCAAATGTACTAAAATTCTTTGAGGAGGTAAAGGCAGGCTGGATAAATAGGAAGCAGTGGATCTGATAGATTTGGATTTTCAGAATGCGTTTGGTAAGTTACCACACATTAAGCTACTTAACAAGACAAGTGCCTATGGTGTTGGAGATAGTAAATAAGCATGGATAGAGGACCGACTAACTAATAGAAGATCGAGTTGAGAGAAGGGGGTATTTTCAAGATAGTAACATAAAGGCATAAACTCAGAGTAAGGAGTGATCCATTTAATTTAGAGATGAAGAAGCTTTACTTTTCAGGAGGTAGGATTGTGTGGGATTCTTTACCACACTGGATTGTGGATCATTAAGGCTGAGGCAGACAGATTTTTAATCAGTAAAGAAAGCAATGGCTTTGGGGAAGAAAGCAGGGTAATGAAGTTGAAGATTATCAGATTAGCCATAATCTCACTGAATGGTGTGCAGACTCAATGGACTGAAAGGCTTATTCTGCCCCTATGTCTTGTGGTCGTAAGCATTTTGTGATGGCTTGTGGACTGGCAACACATGACAATCATCATATTCTTCCCAGTTAAGTTATAACGGCCATGACGAAAAAGAAGTTTTAGCTGTAATGCAGGCACATGAAAATGTTTCAGATTATGTGATGGGATTACTGTTCAAGATCAAAACGGACAGTAAACAATTGATCACTCTTCTAAATACAAAAGGAAAAAAACTAGGATTTTGCTCCAAATTCAACAGTTCAGACTAATGCAATAAGGTATGACTCAATTGCTGATTATGTACTAGGGTGTATCAACCTACAGCAAGCACACCACTAGAATAATAGCGAATGGAACAGAACAAACAGATCGGGGGTTACTTCAAGAAATTGACATTTACCAGCTCCAGAAAGGAAGCAATGGGAGATTCAAGATGTACAAGAACAAAATGAAGAAACACTAAAGATGGACAGTGTGACAAACAAACAATCCAATTATATGTCAGTACTTTGAACAGCACTGACATTTCATTGCCAGTCTTTAATGAGAGATACCAATAATTCGTTGAGTGCAAATTCTTCAGAAAATTCATCAGAAACATTCGGATATTAAAATGTGTCATGCAAGGAGCCAGGTTTCAGTCTGGTAGCCAGATATTTCTCAATCAGGAGATAGTTGCTAGCAGCATTCCTCAAATTTTGAGCAGTCAAGGGAAGAAAACAAAACATTATTTCCTTCATCTTTTTCATCAGAACAGGAATAGATATATTGGAGTTTAAAGGGAAGACCTTCATTATTGTCACTGACAATGACTCATGGTGGATTGAAGTCAATTGTTTACGCAAACTGAGCCAAGGCACTGACAGAACTATTAAAGAGAATCTACTCAACACATAGAATTCTGGACCTTGTATTCTCAGGCAGTGGTCCACAATTTGCATGAGCAGTTTAAGAGATTTGCACATGAATATAATTTCATGCATGTTAAAAGTTCATTCCCCTAATTGCAACCAAATAGATAATAATGAGTGCAGAGTAAAGACAATAAAAGCATTAATAAAGATTCAAATTTTGTAAAAGAAGTTACTAATCCTTACTGTTAAAGAGTGGATTTTCACTGTCTGTTACTGATGGGTAGGAAATTGGTAACACAACTTCCACGTCTGTCTCAGATGTTCAAACCTCACAATACTGAGAATGACCACAACAGATACAAACAGACAAAAGAGGAGCAAAGAGAAAATCAAGCTCAAAACTTCAATAAAAGGTACAGGCCACAAAAGTTACCAAAGCTGCAGTCCAGAGAGACATCATAGATGAGACCTTAAAAGGCAGAAGGACTGAGCAGCTCACGAACACCACAATCGTTAGTCAAGAAAGAAGTAGCACAGAAGTTGGAATGTCCAGAAATGGCCACAATATTTCTGTCGAGGCTGAACCAGTGTTTTAGACACAGTTAACATAATTTCCTTGTTATTACACTCTATTGTCAGATTCATAAAGCTTAGGACACTACATGCATTATTAATCATTCTCTCAAGCTAACCTGACCTTCAGTGTTGGAGCTAAGCCCCTAGGTCTCTCTGGTCTTGCACCCTTTTTAGAAATGTCTCCTTTGAATGAGACTCTGTCCCCATTCTTTCCACCAAAATTGATCACTTCACAAGTCCTTTAATTAAAATTCATTTTTCTGACCATTTCATCAACAGTCTACGTCCTGTCAAAATTCCACACTATCCTACCCACAGTGCTTCCAAGTCATTGACATTTGAACTTGTAGCCTATACACCAAGACCTGGTTATTAATCTATAAAAAGAGCAGGGTCTGAATACCAAACCCTGAAGAACTCCACTATAAACCTCTCTCTGGTCTGAAAATCATTCATGAACCACAGCTGTGTTTTTTTGTCACATGGCTGGTTTAGTTTCCCATTGACCTTTTTATTCCATTGACTCTGACTTTGCTTGCAATTTGTTGTCACGTACTAAGTCCTTTGGAAATTGACATACGCAAACATACTACGCTCAACAATTCATCACTTCAAAAATAAGTCCAGCAAGTTAGTTAAGCACGATTTACCCATAAATCCATGCCAAGTGACTTTCAACTTTGTCACGAACGGTTCCCTCTGCTGAAGTTAAACTGACTGGCCTGTCATTACTGGCCGAATATTTGCACCCTTTTTTGGGGATTTGATCATCTGGAGTGAAAGAAACAGGTTGAAAAATGTTCAAAAATAAGGATCTCAAATACAAGATAATTGCAAATAAATCCAACAAGGAATTCAGGTGAAACCTCTTTATCCAGAGAATGATCAGAATGTGGAACGTGATGCTGCCAGTATGGGTTTGAACTAACAACATGTTTGAGCTTTCCATTAAAAGCTTTTAAGTGCATAGGGGAGAAAGGAACAGAGGGATATATGCTGATAGAGTTAAAGAAAGAAGGGTAGGTGCTAAATAGCCTGATTCTGTGCAATAAATTCAATATGAAAATACATTTGACCAATTGGTGAGATTGTGGGTAATATCTATCAACATGTACAGTCATTACAAAATAAATTACTTTGAAGAAGAATAGCAGTGAAGGCTGTGTCACACTTCGAGGAGTATGGGAGTTCTCCTAATTAATTGCTAAATCAAGCTAAAGGTCAGAGAACAGGGCATCGTGTGAAATAATCAGAGAGAGGAAAAACCTTTTCTTTGCCTTTTACATACAAAGCAAAATAAGACAAGAAGATATTATGCATTTAATAATTAAGTGCCTGAATGCCTGCATTTCAATAGCTCATAAACAATTAGCCTGAATAAAAAAGCAACAAACCTTACGATGCGTGGAGTAGAGATTGTCACACATGTCCACAGAAATAAGTTGCGATTCTCTTCGATGTCCAGCCAGATTTAAAATTCCATATTTGTAGCCAGTTTTATCAGTTATTGCAGCAAATATACGCTCCACGTTTGTGTCTGCCTATTGAACATGGCACATGACCAGCAAGATTTGTTAAGATTTCTATATATAGTATGCATATGTTTTGTAAGTGACCATGGAGTCACAGATTCAGTTATGACACACACGTAAGAACATAAGAAATAGGGGTAGGAGTAGGCCATCTGGCCCATTAAGCTTGCTCCGCCATTCAATAAGATCATGGCTGATCTTTTTGTGGACTCTGCTCCATTTACCCGCCTGTTCAACATAACCCTCAGTTCCTTTATTGTTCAAAAATCTTTGCCTTAAAAACATTCAACAAAGTGGACTCAACTGCTTCACTGAGCAGGGAATTCCAGATTCACAACCCTTTGGGTGAAGTTCCTCCTCAACTCAGTCCTAAATCTGCTATCCTTTATTTTGAGGCTATGCCCCCAGTTCTAGTTTCACCCATAGAATCATAGAAGCCCTAGTGTGGAAACAGGGCATTTGGCCCATAGAGTCCACACCTACCCTCCGAAGAGCATCCCACCTGGACCCATCCCCCTACCCTATCCCTGTAACCCTGCATTTCCTTATACACATATTCAACACATCCCTCTGGGTAATTTAGCTGGTGGAAACAACCTCCCTGCTTGTGTCCTCTCTATTCCCTTCATAATTTTATATGTTTCTATATGATTCCACCCCCCCAACTCAATTCTTCTAAATTCCAAATCAGTACAGTCCCAGTCTACTCAATGTCTCCTCATTAGGCAACTTACTCATATCCCGGAATCAACCTCGTGAACCTCCTCTGCATCCCCTCCAGTACCATTACATCCTCTCTCAAGTAAGGAGACCAAAACTGTACACAGTACTCCAGGTGTAGCCTCACCAGCTGCCTACACAGCTGCCGCATAACCTCCCTATTTTTAAACTCCTTCCATCTAGCAATGAAGGACAATATTCCATTTGCCTTCTTAATTACCTCCTGTACCTGCAAACCAACCTTTTGTGATTCATGCACAAGGACACACATCGCACCGCAGCATGCTACAATTTTTCACCATTTAAATAATAGTCAAATTTTCAGTTATTCCCAACAAAATGGATGACCTCATTTACCAACATTGTACTCCATCCGTCAATGCCTTTCCCACTGACTTAACTTATCTACATCCCTCCGCAGACTTTCAGTGTCCTCTGCACACTTTGCTTTCCCGCTCATTTCAGTGTCATCTGCAAACTTTGACACACGACACTTGGGCCCCAACTCTAAATCATCTATGTAAATTGTAAACAACTGCGGTCCTGACACTGATCCCTGAGGCAAACCACTAGTGACTGATCGTCAACCAGAAAAACATCCATTCATCCTCACTCTTTGCTTTTTGTTAGTTAGCCAATTTTCTATCCATGCTAATAAATTATCCATAATGCATGCACCTTTATCTTACGCAGAAGACTTTGGACGGCACCTTGTCAACTGCCTTCAGGAAATCCAGATACACCACATCCATCGTTGTCCATTGTGCTCATAATGTCCTCAAAGAACTCCAATAAAGGAGGCCATTCAGCCCATCAATTTCATGTCATATCCTATCCATCCTGGCAGTCAATTCCCATAGCCTTGCAAGTTTGTAAATGCCTCTCCAATTTTGAAATCATTCAATGCCTCTGCTTCTACCACACTCATGGACAGCACGTTCCAGGTTATGACTACTTGTTTCACACACAGCCCTTGCACTTCTTGACCTAAAGCTGAAAACTGTGTCCTCTAATCTTTATACGTGGACACGGTTTGTCATAATCCTGAACATTTCTATCAGGTCTCCCATCAATCTCCTCTGTTCCAAAGAGAACAATCCAGCTTTGCCAAACTCAGTTTGTAACTAAAATCCATCAACCCTGAAACCATTCTGGTTAACCTCTTCTGCAATTTTCCTCACCTTTCTTGAAGTGTGGTGACTGGAACTGGACATGATATCCTGCTTCAGTCGAGGGGAAAAGTACCTGACACCCAAATAACTGTCAGAGCCTCTCAGCCATCAATTACTTAGGTGCTACTCAATGATGAATCCGTAAAAAAACACCAGAAGTAGTTTCATTTCATGTACCAATCAGAGTCATGAACAGATAGTTGTGACAGGAAGAAAGAGACCTCTGCTGCATTTGGCGATAATAACTAATTGAGGATACTTTATGAATCAAAAACAGACACCCAGGAAGTCTCACCAGGAAGTCATTTGATCACTAAGCAGAGGCTAAAATCCATCTCGTTTTCCCACTGATAAACCCTGTCTCATTCCCTGCCCTTCCCCACATAAACCTGATCTCAGTCTCTTCCCCAAACCCCACCCCGCAAAAAACCCCACCTCACCCTCAGATTAACCCTGTCTCATTCTCTCCTCCTCTGCAATAAAACCCCACCTTGCCCCCAGATAAACATCATGTCACCTATGAGCCCAATCAAGACAAGTCAAGATCCACCTGGAACTATTGATCATCTAAAGTCCCACAATTCTTTATGTCCTCTGAATCCTTCACCTAGATTCATTAATAAAAAGTAATAAACAGAAAATAACTGCCAACATCAATTCCAGTCAGTTCTCAATGCTTCATTTATGACCATTGTTACCAGAAACTCTAACCTTTAAGAGAAGTCTCTGTGTACCGTACACAATCAAAAGCTTTCACAATTCAGGGCAGACAATTTCTAGTTTCTCTCATCTTGTTGACTTCTTTCAAAATTGTCATCAAGTTATTCATGCCACTCACTGTGTTAAACAGATTGATCAGTTTTTGTACTTTTGATCTATTAGTCCCATTAGTTGGGTAAAGGCCGATATAACCTTTAACCACATCAACACCAAAGCGTTGCCCACTATCAAAGCTTCATCAAGCGCTTGCAAACCAGAAAACAAAAACAATAATTTATTTCCTCATACTCACTAAAATCATTTGGAAACTGCTTTGAATTGAAGAATCCAAACTGCGAGTATCCAATTTATTCTTTCTCATCCCACTGACCTTGAGTTCTTGAATAAATCTGTAAATAATGTAGGGTAGTGGAAATAGTTGTGTACATATATAGATATAAAATAACTATGATTACTATCAAACCTCAACATTATAAACTCAACGAAGATTGAAGTGGATTCACCATAAAAGGACATACAGATCATTAAAGTATCATGATTGGAAAATAATCAAAAAGGCTGACTGGAATGCCATCATGCATAATCACGAGAACAAGAATCCAGGTGAAGCCATGCTTCAGCTAGACCACATTAGCAGTTCCAGAACAGTTCTGGATATCAAATTTCAGAAAGGTATACTAGACTTAGTGGGAGCACAGTATAGGTTCATGAGAATAGTAAAGATTTAAGTTACAGTCAGAAAATATGAACAGAAAGATAGTTTTGCTTGTTCTGTTCTATTTCCACTTGCTGGGGAATCTAGGAACGTAGTCTTAAAAGTTACACCTAAACCCTCAAAAAATTTGAAACAATTTCTACGTGCACAGGTTTTTTATTAATGCCAATGACTACCCTGCAAACTGCAACTGGTGCTTAAATCATGTGTTAATTTCAAAGTTCGGTTTTGGCGATGCTTACTGGTTGAAGGTATCAAAGGATGGGGAGAAAGGTGAATATATGGAGTGAGTTTTCAGAACGCCCAGGATTGCACTGAATGACACAACAGGCCAAGAGCTGAACTGCCTCCTCCCATTCATTTGATCCTTTGACTGCCTTCCTTGAACCAGGAAAAAAAATGCTGAAACAGAGAGTGCAGAAAAAAAACTAAAAATGAAAATAAAACAAAGGGAACATGAGAAAATATTACCAAGTACCATAGATGGAAGTCTTTCAAAAAAAAAAAATCAAAAACTAAACATATAGTCAAATGGAAAGGCACGAATGATTAAAGATTAAATAAAATATCTTCTTATGGAGACAGAAGACCTGGTTGGGATCCACTTTGCATCCACCTACCATATAGAATAGCATCAAAGTTGCAACAAAATAGAAAGTCATAAGAAATTTAAGGAAAGACAGATAAAAAGGAGGTACTTAAAAGCTGGCAGCTCTCAAAATAGAAAAAAACACAAAGTTTAGAAGGAATGGCCCTTGGTGGGAGTGGCCAGGTGGCTAAGTGTGGCAGGGAAAGAGAGAATGAGAAATAACAAGAGAATCCAATCATACTCTCAAAGGACGTTACAGACATAACAGCATTAAATCATGGACAATAATTTAGAATTGACAGCCAAATTCATCTTCCCCCTACCCTCAAGGTTCAAGAGGACAACCTTAGCTCGTACCTTATGTTGCAGCTGAAATGAGCCAAGCAGCAAACCTGGAGCTTTCCAGATGCACCCTGACTCAATAGACATTCAATAACTAAATACCCATAAAGCTGATCAGAGCACAGATGATTGAAAACATCAAACCCAACATGCAAGTGATAGCATTTTAATCCTATGGATACATCTTTCCTAAAATACGTCACCTAAATCTCCATGCTTTCACGCTTAGCCACTCCATAATGACAGTGTGTTTGAATGCCTGTGCACAACTCACACTATGCATCAAGTAATAGATATTGCAGCGGTACAGACATTATACACCCCACACACAGACTCACACTGAATGGTGCAGCTGCACAGATTATACACCGCACGCGCGCGCACATACACACAGGATGGTGCAGTGGTACAGACATTACACACCTCATACACACTGGATGGTGTAGTACAGACAATATGCCACACACACGGGAATAGGAAGTGGTATAAACAATATGGCACACACACTGGATGGTGCAGTGGTACAGGCATTATACACCACACATATTGTCTGTACTACACCATCCAATGTGCCACACACTGGACGGCGAAATGGTATAAACAATACGCCACACACACTGGAATGTGAAGTGATACAGACAATAAGCCACACATACTGGACGGTGAAGTGGTACAGACAATAAGCTACACACACCCTGGATGGTGCAGTAGTGCTGACAATACACCACACGCACACTAGATGGTGCAATGGAATGAAACATATTTCACTAAGCATCGTCACTTCAGTCAGAACATTGTAGATGCAAGATTCATTCCATCTAAGTAGATATTCCATGTCAGCATGAAAATACTCTGTGTAGAGCTGGATGAACACAGCAGGCAAGTAGCATCAGAGGAGCAGGAAGGCTGACGTTTCAGGCCTAGGCCCGAAACGTCAGCCTTCCTGCTTGGCCTGCTGTGTTCATCCAGCTCTACACCTTGTTATCTCAGATTCTCCAGCATCTGCAGTTCCTACTATCTCTGAAAATACTCTAATCACTTTAATGACAATTTGCTTTACATGAGGCCTACAGCCCAAGTAAGTCTGTTCAAATGGACTTTGAAAACCTTAGTATAATTCACAAAACAGCAAAAAGCTGTACAAAGTTAGCAACAATTAAAACACATCAATCAGTTAATATCTAATTTTCACGTGTAGGACCTTGTTCTGCACAAAACAGCACTGTCTGCTTATTTTTTAACATCAACCTCTCTAGTTTCTGTATTTTTGTTTGGTAGGTATGTGATAACTGGAATGGCTAGAATCTTCAGGAAGGTGACATACTGCCTGTCTTCTTGAATATAATGTCCTGCTGAGCCATTCTGCTTTGTGAAGGGTCAGCCTTGATGTGTGGGGGACTAGAGCCAGCCCAGTCAAGGCACCATTAGAATTCTTACAACAATCCACTACGACTTGAATTAAAAAGGAACTCAAATTTAAAATGAATTCAGATTTTCAAGTTGTAATAGCAGTATGTGAACTGACAACCTCTGCATAACATGTCCAGTCACAAGCTACCACACTCCTTCCAAAGTTCCAGAGACCTGATAGTGCACAAGTCCTTTTTGACGTACCCAGAATGAAATCACCCACGAATATCAGAGGCTCAAGGCTCCTAAATACTAAGAAACTAACAGTTTACCAGTAGCAAGCCAAGCACAGTGAGGAAACAGGCTGGAAAAAGGAGAACACCTGAGCAAACATTCAGAAAGATTAAAGAGGGCAATTCACAGCAACATCAACTTGCTTTCCCATCGTGCAGTCACTCACTTGACCAGAACAAAGAATAAAGCACATTTATTCAAATTTATACACAGGAATTAGGAGATCTAGGCCATTCTGCCTCTCAAGCCTATTCTCAATTTGAAAAGATCATAGCTTGTCTCATTGTGGCCTCACTGTCTATCTGCTTTGATCTTTGACTCCATTGTGAATCAAAATTTAACTTAACTCTGCCTTAACAATATTCAGTAAATCTGCCTCCACAGCTCACAGACATTATCCTCAGACTGGAAAAATATCTCCTCAGCTGAATCGTAAATGAGAGGCACTATTTCTGAACCGTGATCCCTAATTTTAATCTCTCCATTTCTTTAAAAGGGAAACATCCCTTCAACATTCATCTTGTCAAGGCTCCTCAGGATTTTACATAGGTTCAGCAACATCATCTCTCATTCTTCCAAACTCCAATGGATACAAATCAAATCACATAAGTAAACCGTTTCAACCCAGGAATCAGTCAACTGAACCTTCTCTAAACTGCTTCTATGCAATTGTGTCCTCTCTTAAATAAGGAGACCAAACTGTACTCTACATGTGGATAAATGTGAGGTGCTGCATTTTGGTACAACAAACAAGGGTAGGGCTTAAACAATTATTGGTAGGGCCTTGGACAGTGTTATAGAACAGAGGGGCGTAGGTGTTCAGGTCCATAATTCTTTGAAGTTTGCACCACATATGGACAGTATGGTTAAAAAGGTATTTGGCACGCTTGCTTTCATTGCTCAGTCCTTTCAGTATAGGAGTTGGGAAGTCATGGTGAGATCGTATAGGACACTGGTGAGCCCTCTTCTGGAATACTGTGTCCAGTTCTGGGTCACCCAGTTATAGGAAGGATACTATTAAACTGGAGAGGGTTCAGAACAGATTAACCAGAATGTTGCTGGGTATGGAGGATCTGAGTTATAAAGAAATCCTGGATAGGCTGGGACTTTTTTCAATGGAGCGTAGGAGGTTGAGAGGCAACCTTACAGAAGTTTATAAAATAATGAGGGGTATAGATAGAGTTAATGATAATTATCTTTGCCTAGGATGGGGGATTTCAAAACAAGGGGGCACATTTTTAAGATGAGAGGAGAGAGATTTAAAAAAGACATATGGAGCAAAGTTTTTACACAGAGGGTGGCTTGTGTGTGGAATGAACTTCTGGAGGAAGTGGTGTATGCGGGTACAATACAATGTTTAAAATCACATGAATAGGAAAGGTTTGGAGTAATATGGGCCAGAAGCAGGCAGTTGGGACTAGCTTAGTTTGGAATTATGTTCGGCAAGGTCTGGTTGGACCAAAAGGGTCTGGTTCTGTGCTGTATGACTCTATGTGTTCTCACCAATGACTCGTATAATCATAGCAAAAACTTACCTATTTTTAACATTCCATTCTTGTTGCAATAAACACCAACATTCTAATTGCTTTTTTAATCCCTTACTGTACTCACATTTGTGCTGCACCAGGACAACCAGATCCCTCTGTACCTTTGCAACCTCACACACACACTTACAGAGAAGCTAGGAAAACATATGGGGGAGAAAGGAGTTGAAAGGAGAGGAAGAAGGGTGGAAACGATCTCGAATGGAGCATAAAATCTGGTCTGGGTCTACTGGGTTGAACAGTCAGTTTCTATGCCATAGTATCTATGCAGGTGAAATGATGTTTGGAAAAGCTGGTGTTATTTGCGGATACTACTTATAACCTTGATGCGGTAAAATCAAGGGATGGGATATTTTTGGATTTTCAGAAGGCTTTTGAGGAGGTCCCAAGCAGGAAGTCAATAAATAAAACTAGAACATATGGAATTTGAGAGTTGGTTAACAGTCAGAAAACAGAATAGGAATAAACAGATTGTTCTCAGTATGGTAATGTTACTAGTGGGAGATCACAAACATCAGTGTCAGGGCTATAACTGTTCACTAAATTATCAGATGTGAGGACCAATTGTAATAATTCCAAATTTGCTGATGACACCAAACTGGGTGGAAACCTAATTTCAAAGGAGGGTGCAAGGAGGCTTCATGAGGTCTTCAGCATGCTAAGTGAGTGGGCAAGAACTTGGCAGATGGAATATAATGGGAATAAGTGTGAAGTTATCAGCTTTGGTCAGAATATTTCTTAAATGGCGAGAGGCTGGGAAATGTGCATGTTCAACAGGACCTGGATGCTACTATTTATGAAATTACTTTAAACTAGCAAGCAAGTTCAACAAGGAATTAGGCCGACAAATGATATATTGGCCATTACACAAAGGAGATTTCAGTTCAGGAGTAACTTGTCTTGCTACAATCATGAAGAGTCTTGGGGGTACCACATTTGGCGAATTGTGTACAGTTTTAGCCTTGTTACCTAAGGAAGAATATACTTGCCATAAGAGTTTTTAAAAAATTAATTCATTCAGGGGATTCAGGAGAATTTAAAGTCCGCAAAAAATCCTATTGGACTTGAAACATTAACTCGGTTTCACTCTCAACAGATGCTGCCAGACCTGTTGAATCTCTCCAGCATTTTGTTTTATTTCAGGTAACATCCAGGTGTGATTCCCCTCAAGTAGGGGATACAATTATGGCAATGTCAGTGAATGCCAAAGGGCAATGGCTACATTCTCTCTGGTTGGAGATGGCCTGGCATTTGAGAAGTTTAAATATTACTTGCCACATTGCACAATCATCGGTGAACATCCCCAGTTCTGACCTTCTGATGGGGGAAGGTCATTGATGATGCACCTGAAGATGGTTTGGCCTAACACACTACCTGAAGAACTCCAGCAGAGATGATTTGGAGCTGAGGTGGCTGACTTTGAACAACCACAACCAAATCCCCCATCTTCCTATGCGCCAGATATGACTCCAGCAAAGAAGTTTTTGCAATTCCCATTGACTTCAGTTTTGCGAAGTCCCTAAGGTTTTGGACTAGATCTGTAGCTCGGGTTGTGGGTGTTGAGGTTGGTTGGCTCCCCGAGCTGGTTTGTTGTTCTGCAGACGTTTCGTTACTGTGCTTGGTAACATCCTCAGTGCAGCCTCTGATGAAGCATCGATGTGTTTTCCCGCCTGGTTTTTAAACTCTGGGGTCCATCGCGATGGATTGCCTCACTTCCGGGTTTCCTCCGTAGTGGAATGTATATGGGGTTGAGTTCAATGTGTTTATTAATAGCATGCTTCGTGGAGTCCCATGCTTCCAGGAATTCTCGTGCTTGTCTCTGCCTAGCCTGTCCTATGATCTTGGTGTTGTCCCAGTCGAAGTGGTGGTTCTCCTTGTCCATGTGGATTGAGAGGAGTGAGTATTGGTCGTGTCTTTTTGTAGCCAGTTGGCGTTCACGTACTCTTGTTGTTAGTTTCCTTCCTGTTTGTCCGATGTAGTGTTTCTCACAGTCTCTGCAGGGGATCTTGTAGATGACATTGGTCCTGTCCATGGCAGGGAGTGGGTCTTTAGTTCGGGTGAGCACTTGTCATAGGGTTGATGTGGGCTTGTGTGCCACTCTGATGCCTAGCGGTCGTAGGAGTCTTGTGGTGAGTTCTGACGTGTTCCTGATGTAGGACAGTGTGATGAGTGTGTCGGGTCGTGTAGAATCTTTCTGATGCTGTTCCTGTAGGCATCTCCTGACCCAGTTCTTTGGATATCCATTATCCTTGAACACTTTGAAAAGGAGGCCCCTTTTTGCCACAGTTGTTCAAATATAGCCTGGATGTCAAACCAGTGATCTCACTTCTGGAATTCAGCACTTTTGGTCATGTTTGTACCAAGGTTATGATGAGGTCAGGACCGAGTGGCCTTGGCAAAATCCAAACTGAGGGTCACTGAACAGGCTATTGCTAAGTAAGTGCTGTTCAATAGCATTGTCGGTGGCCCCTTTATGAGCTTACCCATTATCTAGGAAAGACTAATCGAGCAACTGAAGGGCAGTAATTGGTCGGGCTGGATTTGTTATGCTGCGTACAGTATATAACTAGACATTGTCGGGTAGATGCCAGTGTTGTAATTGGACTGGAACAGCCTGGCTACGGGCGCGACAAGTTCTGCAGCACACATTTCAGTATTATTGCTATAATGTTGACAAGGCCTGAAGCCTTTGCAGTATCCAGTACCTCTACCTGTTCTTTGATTCAAGAGTGAATCTAATTGGCTGAAGACTGGCATCTATGAAGCTAAGGATCTTCGGAGAAGACTGCAACAGAGGTTTGCCAGATGAGTCCCCGGTAAGGGGGATTGTGTTATGAAGAGACTTGGAAAAAACAGGTCTGTATTCCTTCGAGTCTCGTAGAATGAGGGGTGACCTCACAAATTTGCAAAATTCTTGCAGGAAGGACACAAGATTTTCCCTGGCTGATTGACCTAAAATTGAGGGATACAATCTCAGAATTAAGGGCCATTTAGGACTGAGGTGAAGAGAAATTCCTTCACTCAGAGGGTGGTGAATCTTTGAAAGCCTTTAGCCCAGAGGGCTGTGGAATCTCTATCACTGAGCAGTTTAAGTTAGGAATTGATAAATTTCTGAAGGCTAACAAAAGCAAAAGGACATTGAGGTAGCACAGGAAAGTGGCATTGAGTTAGATGATCATATGTGATCTAATTGAGTTGTGCAGCAGATTTAATGCTATGTAAATTGTTTAAATAATATAATCTACTTACCGCGAACATGATGCCGGTTTCATTAATCCGGAATCTCTTTTCTGTAGTAACCTGGTGAGATCCAGACCCATTCTAACCACTGGCTGCTTTCAAAACAAAAAAACGTTAGGAATGCAGTGATCAAAGACAGTCACACGTGGCTTCATTAAAAAGCCGAAACCGTTAACTTACAAAAGCAGCACTTCCCTGAGCCTTGAACAGAAGATGATACTGTCAACGGGGAATACAAAACTCAACTGAATTCAGAAATAAAATGTGGAGTAGGGACTCTGCCATCTGGCCCTCAGGTTACTCCACTAGTCAATCAGACCATTGCAGATTGCTACCTCAGCCTCACCTTCCTGCACTCTTCCCCCATATCCCTTCATTCACAGTGTCAAATCTACCAGGCTAGTCTGACAAGGCTTAGCAAGTGAGCATCTACACAGCTCAAGAGGTACAGAATTGGAAAAATTCACTACCTTGAGAGTGAAGGAAATTTTCCACATCTCAGTCATAAATGTTCAACAGTTTGTTCTGAGACCAAGATCCATGTTCTAAACTCTCCAGAGAGGGGAACCATCCTCTCAGAATTAGGTCTGTAAAGCTCTTTGTGATAGCATTTTGTGATTCATTTAGATCAGCTCTCATCCTTTTAAACTCCACAGAATATAGACCTGATCCACTCAATTGCTCCTCCTCAAACAATCCCTCATTCCGGGAAGCATTCACTAAACTCCCTCACACACAGCACTAAATTTTCTCAGGCAAGGAGATCAAAACTATGCATAGTATTCCGGAAGCAATCTCACCATGGTCCCGTATGAAAATGTAAGGCTTCTTCACTTCTACTCTGATCCTTTTGCAATAAAAGCTAAAGTTCCTTTCGTCATGGAGACCTACAGCACAGAAAAAGGCCAATCAGCCCACTGCATCTGTGCCAGTCAAAAGCAGTCATCTAACTATTCTAAGATAGTAGGAACTGCAGATGCTGGAGAATCCGGACAACAAGGTGCAGGGCTGGATGAACACAGCAGGCCAAGCAGCATCATAGGAGCAGAGAGGCTGACGTTTCGGGCCTAGACCCTTCATCAGAAAAGGGGGAGGGGAAGGGGGTTTTGAAATAAATAGGGAGAGAGTGGGAGGCGGATAGAAGAGGGATAGAGGAGAGGAAACAAACAGGTTGAAGAGGCGGGGATGGAGCCAGGAAAGGCGAGTGTATGTAGGGAGTTAGGAAGGGGATAGGTCAGTCCAGGGAGGACGGACAGGTCAAGGGGGCGGTTTGAGGTTGGTCGGTAGGAGATGGAGGTGCGGCTTGAGGTGGGAGGAGGGGATAGGTGGGAGGAAGAACAGGTTAGGGAGGCAGGGACGAGCTGGACTGGTTTTGAGGCACTCCACTCCCGTACATCTCAGTTGTCCTCGTTTTTCAAGGACCGTAACTTCCCCTCCTCGGTGGTCGAGAACGCCCTCAACCGTGTCTCCCACATCTCCCGCACCTCATCCCTCACACCCCGTCCACGCAATAAAAACCAAAAAAGAATCCCCCTCGTCCTCACGTACCACCCCACCAACCTCCGGATCCAACGCATCATCCTCCGACACTTCCGCCATCTGCAATCCGACCCCACCACCAAAGACATCTTTCCCGCCCCACTCTTATCTGCTTTCCGGAGGGACAACTCTCTCCGTGACTCCCTTGTCCGCTCCACACTCCCCTCCAGCTCCACCACACCCGGCACTTTTCCCTGCAACCGCAGGAAGTGCTACACCTGCCCCCATACCTCCTCCCTCACCCCCATCCCAGGCCCCAAGAAGACTTTCCACATCAAGCAGATGTTCACCTGCACATCTGCCAATGTGGTATACTGCATCCGCTGTGGCTTCCTCTACATCGGGGAAACCAAGCGGAGACTCGGGGACCGCTTTGCAGAACACCTACGCTCGGTTCGCAACAAACAACTGCACCTCCCAGTCGCGAACCATTTCAACTCCCCCTCCCGTTCCTCAGACGACATGTCCATCCTGGGCCTCCTGCAGTGCCACAACGATGCCACCCGAAGGTTGCAGGAACAGCAACTCATATTCCGCTTGGGAACCCTGCAGCCCAATGGTATCAATGTGGATTTCACAAGTTTCAAAATCTCCCCTCCCCCCACCGCATCCCAAAACCAGTCCAGCTCGTCCCTGCCTCCCTAACCTGTTCTTCCTCCCACCTATCCCCTCCTCCCACCTCAAGCCGCACCTCCATCTCCTACCGACCAACCTCATCCCGCCCCCTTGACCTGTCCGTCCTCCCTGGACTGACCTATCCCCTTCCTAACTCCCTACCTACACTCACCTTTCCTGGCTCCATCCCCGCCTCTTCGACCTGTTCGTTTCCTCTCCACCTATCCTCTCCTCTATCCCTCTTCTATCCGCCTCCCACTCTCTCCCTATTTATTTCAAAACCCCCTTCCCCTCCCCCTTTTCTGATGAAGGGTCTAGGCCCAAAACGTCAGCCTCTCTGCTCCTATGATGCTGCTTGGCCTGCTGTGTTCATCCAGCCCTGCACCTTGTTGTCTCATCTAACTATTCTAAGCCCATTTTCCAGCACTTGGCCCATAGCCTTATATACCTTGGCATCGCAATGCACATCTAAAAACTTAAATGTTATGACGGTTTCTGCCTCTACCACTCTTACAGGCATGGAGTTTCAGATTCCCACCACCCGCTGCATCAAAAAGGATTTTCCTCACGTCTCCTCTAAACCTTCTGCCTCTTACCTTAAATCTATACCCCGGTCATTGATTCCTCCATCAAGGGGAAATGTTCCTCCCATTTACCCCATCTATGCCCCTCATAATTTTGCACATCTCAATCATGTCCCCTCTCAGTTTCCTCAGCTCCAAGGAAAACAACACCAGTCTATCCAAATAAAAACCGAAAGAACTGCGGATGCTGTAAATCGGGAACAAAAACAAAGTTGCTGGAAAAGCTCAGCAGGTCTGGCAGCATCTGTAAAGGAGAAAACAGAGTTAACGTTTCAGGTCTGGTGACCCTTCCTCAGTTCTCTGGACCCAAAACGTTAACTCTGTTTTCGAGTTTTAAAAGAAAAGTTTTAAAAGAAGAATCGCAGATATGCGTGGGAAGGGAGAAAAAAAATTGAGTTGAGGTAGAAAGAGATGAGTATCATTGGGCAGGAGCAGACAGCAACGATGGGTCTGTCCAGGCAGTCCTGTTTGTATATTTTAGAAGGAGATAGAAGTGGGCCACATTGGCTTGGGATCTATGAGCTTGAAGGTAGTGGTGGAGTTGGGGTTAGGGGGATGTGTGGTATGGGGGCAGGGGGATAACCAGATGAAATGAGACTAGTGACAGTTGTGCAAACAATGGCCTGGTATTGAATGGTGGGGTCAGGTCCAGGAGGTGATAGGAGGAGAAATCTGAGATTTGGTGTTCAGCCTCCACAATGTAGAGGTCAGTAGACCTTTAGTTTTAAAGTATTTTAAAACCTTTTTTTAAATTTGTTAAAAAGTGAGACACAGGGACAGAATAAAGCAAATAAAGCTATAAGGTTCCATTGTTATGAACAAATAGCAATAAAGCTTACTGAGCAACGTTACAACAGTAATACGATCTTCAATGCCTGTATGACTTATTTCTAAGACCTGGAGTTAACATGTAGTTCATCTGGGCAATATTCAGTGATCAAACACCCCGCAGTGCACATTAAATATTAAATAATATTAAAGCAGATCCCACAGATTTCTGAATGACTCCCCCACTGTTGATAGCATGGGTCATCAAATCTCATTAAAATTTCACTTTAATTGATCCAACTTTGAACCTCCCTCTCACAAGCAACTCTGTCATGGCCAACTCCTGTTCTAGGCAATCACCCTCCTTTCCTGGATCTTCTCGTACTCATTCATAAGTAAAATTCTAGCCCTCAATGTCTAATTTCACACAGCCAGTTCTTCCCCTGAGCTTGAATCCTACTTTGATCAACTAGGAAGCATTGGTAATTGGAGGGACCATTTGTGTCTTTCTACACAAATGAGATAGCTCACATGCGGGCACTGCAAGAGAGAGACCTTAGATAGGAAAAAATTACTGCAGATGATAGAATCTGTGCTGGATCTTAGTGGACATGTTCACTAGTCATTTAAAATAGTGGGACAGATAGAGAAAGAGGTTGAGAACACAAATGAAATACTTGCCTTTATTCGCTAAAGCATAGAATTTAAGTACAGGGGAGGTTATGCTGGAACTGAATAAAACGTTGGTTAGGCCACAGCTACAGTATTGTGTGTAGTTCTGGAATCCACATTATAGGAGGAATGTCAAAGCATTAGAGGGGGTACAGAGGAGATTTACCAGGATGTTGCCTGGACTGGAGAATTTCAGTTATAAAGAGAAATTGGATAGACTGGGAACAAAAACAAAGTTGCTGGAAAAGCTCATCAGTTTTAAATTTCCAGTTCGCAGCTCCATCTGCTTCCTCTTCACTATTTACATATCCATGCCCCATCAGGATGGTCTCAGGGGTGTCTGCTTTTTCCCGAAAAAAATGGCCTGAGCTGTCCGGATCTCCTACCACCATCCTCCTCCTCCACCTTGCTGAGCTCATCCTCACTTTAACCAACTTCTCCTTTAACTCGTGTAGAGCTGGAGGAACACAGGAGGCCAGGCAGCATCAGAGGAGTAGGAAAGTCCTGACCCGAAATGTCAACTTTCCTACTCCTCTGATGCTGCCTGGCCTGCTGTGTTCCTCCAGCTCCACAGTGAGTTATCGCTGACTCCAGCATCAGCAGTTCTTACTATCTCCTTTAACTCCTCCCACTTTCTTCAGATCAAAGGGGTGGCCTTGAGTGCTGGTATAGGCCCCAGTTACGCCAGTCTCTTTGTGGGGTACGTGGAACATTATTCCAGTCCCCACCCACAACATTTTTTCTGGAAAGTCAATGATATCATCAATGCTGCCTCCCTCTATCTTCCAGAATTGGAAAAGTCTATCAATTTCACTTCCAATTTACACACCGCGCTCACCTTCACCTGGTCCTTCTCAGACTCCGCCCTTTCCTTCCTCAACGTCTGCTTCCATTTCCAGGGGTAGGCTGGCCACCAACATTCACTACAAATCCACTGTTGCCCACAGTTAACTTGACTATACATCCCCACACCCTGCTTCCTGTAAAGACTCCATTCCCTTCGCCTCCATTGCATCTGTTCTGATGATGCCAAGTTCTACAAAGGGGCCTCCAAAATGTCCACCTTCTTCCTCAACTGAGGATTCCCCACTACTGTGGTTGACAGGGCCCTCAACCACCTCCCATATTTCAGCCCTAACGCCCTCTCTCCCCTCCCACAGTGATCGGATCCCCGTCATCCTCACCTACTCTCCCGTCAGCATTCACATCTACAGGATTGCAAACTGCCATTTCCACCATCTCGAGCAGGATATCACCACCACCACACATATTTTACTCCCCTCCCTTGTCAGCTTTCTGCAGGGACTATTCAATCTGAGATACCCTGATCCACTCCTCCACACAGCACCTTCCCATGCAATCACAGAAGGTAACACCAGCCCATTTATTTCCTCTCTCCTCATTATCCAGACACACTTTCCAGGTGAAGCAATGATTTAAATGCACTTCACTCAATCTAGTCTACTTTATTCACTGCTCCAGTCTTCTGGACACAATATTGAGTTCAATTATTTTAGAGCCTGAACACCTTCTTCCGTGTCATCACACGGATGACACCACAAACAACCCCATTGTTAGCTACTACAAGTTCATTAGGGGCTAGTCATTCTCCTGGGCTGAATTTAACATATTCCTTTGCTTTTCTCTTTCTCTGGGCTCCAATTCCAACTATCTTTTAGGCCTTACCCCTCCCTGCCAAACTTGTTGTGTTTTTTCCAGCAATTTCTGTTTTTGTTAAAAATAAAGATTATTGCTTCCTAGCCAGATAGTTTAAGTAAATTTGGAAAACTGGTCTGGGATTGTAACGAGATAATATCAGTCCTGTCATCTAGGTCATTGATACACATTATTAAATAGCTGAGACCCAGCACTGACCCTTGCTGTTACTGCCTGCAGACCTTAAAATGAGACATTGATTCTGAGAATTTTCTATCCAAAAATGTTATCACATCCTTACAGATCTCAAACTTTTCATAAAAACAAACTACAGCTCTAATAACCTTAGCTTTAGCATCCTCTTCCAACATCTCCAATCGTTTTTCTTCCATTTCCATTTTTCTGATTGATTCCCAAGTAAGAGGGTTACAGTTATTATGTCCAGGTAACAGCCTAAAATATCTGTCCTTTTTGCGATCATAGTAAAATCCAGGTAACTCTGGGGGGAGAAAAGGAAAAATACTGATTACTTAACCACATGAACTGTTTCACTTTGACATCCAAACATTTTTTTTTAATTTCCAGACTCTACTGTGGTGAGGCCCTGAAAAGAAAATTTGTTAGCCTCAATGGGATCACTGAAGAAATGGAAAACTGACAGATTATCAATAAACTCTGTTACAAAGTTTAAGGATCTTCTGTTTTGCAAATAAAAGCTTTAAGTACAAAAGGAAATTACAGCTATTTTACGAATCACTGATCAACTTGTGGCTAGAAATCACATCCAGTTCTGGACACTACAGTGGAGGAAGATTGTCCAGATACTGGCAAGGACACAATAGATTTATTAAAATGGAACGAGGGTGACGGTTTTGGTTATATGGAGAGTCTGGAGAAGCTGAGGTCCTTCTTTGGTGAGTCCAAGTGACCGTCTGTGTGGAGTAAGTACATTCTCCCTGTGTCTGTGTGGGTTTCGTCTGGGTTCTCCACTTTCCTCACACAGTCCAAAGATATACAGGTTAGGTAGATTGGCCATGCTAAATTCCCCATATTGTCCAGGGATGTGCAGGCTAGGTGGATTAGCAATGTGAAATACAGGGATATGGGGATAGGGTTGGGGGGAAATGGGTCTGGGTGGGATGCTGTTCGCACAGCTGATGTGGATTCAATAGGCCGAATGGTCTGTTTCTGCTCCTTAAAAGCTTAGACTTGGTTACTGGCCACTGGTCATCCGGGCTTTTCAGCTTCAACCTGTCTGTGGCCAGGAAAGAAAAACTTGCCCGAGGCGATCAACAATTCCTGCTGCTTTTGAATCTTGTGGGGAACCCCAGTTTCATCTGTGATCAGAGCAGAGAAACAACAGGAGGCATAAAAACAGAAGAAAGAGAGCCAGATCGGTTAGACAATATTGTCTTGGGTCCATCTGCTCATTCCTACAAAGAATCCCTTCCATATTCTATTGCCACATGATTTCTGGACCTCATATGTCCCTGAACTCAACAGTGCATCAATGCTCCTTGCTGATACTTACCTGGTTCCACATCATTAACCATTCTCGAGTCCATTTATGTGTAATTTCAACCGTCACTCTTGACTCAAGTCCAACCCAACTTTTCAATATCCCTTCACCTTCCCATTCTCCTGCTACTGTCCTAGGCTTGACTCCCTCTTGGATAACCTACAACTTCCCTCTGTGCCTCTCTTGGCAATCCCCTAATAGGTTCATCAAAACATTTGGCTCTGACAAACGATGAGCAGCAACCTATTATTCTCTCATTCCTCTCAGAGCTTCTTAAACAAAGATTGCTGGAGTTTATTCCCTTTTCTTCTTGTCCATTCACCTGACAGACTCTTCGTGGTTGTCAGAGATGATCTGCCTGTATTGCTTGCAAAACAAAGCTTTTCACTGTACTTAGGTTACACATGACTACAATAAATCAAATCAAAGAGTGGACATGGTGAAGATGTTTCCACTAATGGGTGAGACCAGAATCAGAGGGTACAACCTCAGAGTGAAACGATGACCCTTCAGAACTGAGATGAGGAGGAATTTCTTCAGCCAGAGGGTGGTGAGTCTATGGAACTCATTGCCATTGAAGGCTATGGATTCCAAGTCACCGAGTATATTTAAGACAGTGATAGATATATTCTTGATTAGTAAGGGGATCAAGGGTTATGGGAAGAAAGCAGGAGAATGGGGTTGAGAAACATATCAGCTATGATATAATGGCAGAGCAGAATCAATGGGCCGAATGGCCTAATTTTGCACCTATACCTTATAGCTTCACTTCTTAACAGCAACTTATCTCTCAAGCCTCATCCACCCTCAGCCCAACAGCAAGGTAATTTGCCACCAAATGGAGTGCATCCATTCAGCCATCGTTGCCCTACCAGTCCCTTGCCCGAGATCACTGGGCTTAATCCCCTCCACGTTTCTCCTTGGCCTAGCGCTGAAACATCCATTCCTTTTGTTTCTTTCTGAATGCCTGTTCCCAGTTAATCTCATCACCATTGCAGGGGAGACGATGGTCCAGTGGTAATATTGCTGGACCGTTAGTTCAGAGACCCAGATAATGTTCTGGGGACCCAGGTTCAAATCCCACCACGGCGGAGAAATTTGATGGTGAAGTTTGAATTCAATAAAAATATCTGGAATTAAGAATCTAATGATGACCATGAATTCATTGCCAATTGTCAGAAAAACTCATCTCGTTCATTATTGTCCTTTAGGGAAGGAAACTGTCATCCCTACCTGGTCTGGTCTGCATGTAACTCCAGACCTACAGCAATTTGGCCGACTCTGAATTGTCCTGGACAATTAGGGATGGGCAATAAATGCTGCATAGCCAGAGATCCCTCATCGCATTAATGAATAAAGGATTACCTTGGAATGCCACAATAGCATGGATTCAGCCCCCTCCTGTTTCTCATCCATTTTCTGCTTCTCAGCAAACATCCAAAGCACAGAGTTAGTTTGCACATGTACATTAACATCACCTAGCTCAATCCCTCCACTGTTGTTACCATATCAAACTCCCTAACTGACACAGAGTACTGGATAATCAGAATATTGGGAACTGAGAATATTATTGATTCTAAACTCCATTTCCTAGCAATTGGCTTCATTCCATTTCCTGGCAACAGTCCTAGACTGAGCCATCTGTTGGAAAAATAATGTTATGTTTAATCCAATTTACAATCACTATGATTGCCTATATTTCACAATTGTAACATTGCCCAACTTCCCGCACAAGCTCCCAATCTTTGTTCAGTTTCTGTCGAAACCTCATTCACGTCTTTATACCAAGAATGAACTTTTCCATAGGACTCTTCACGGTATCCAACGCTCTAAACTCTGAAACTTGAGGGCATCCAAAACTCTGCCACCATGTCTTAACTCTCAACCTGTACACTGTCATCCATGTTCATTCATCTACAAAGGCTTTCAATCAGCAACATCTCAATTTTAAAATTGTCTTCCCTGTTTCCAAAGCAATCCATGGTCTCATTCCTCTCTATCTCGATCTCCCTCAGTCCCACAAGTTTCCAAGATATCTGGGCCATCTAGGTCTGGTCTCTTAAAATTGGAAGTCCAACAGATTTATTTTAAATCACAAGCTTTTGAAGCGCTGCTCCTTCGTCAGGTGAAGTGGAGGGAAGAACACAGGCACAGAATTTTTACGCAGAGAGTAAATGGTAAGATAAATCCCAGGTAATTAACATCGTCAAAAGATAAATACAAATGCTTGCTATTCAGCCTATTGACACCCCACTCACACCATTTGCATTTATCTTTTGATACCCTTAATTATCTGGAATTATCTTACCATTATCCCTCTGCAAAAAAATTCTGTGCTTGTGTGCTTCCCTCCACTTTACCTGATGAAGGAGCAGCGCTCTGAAAATTTGTGGTTTCAAATAAACCAGCTGGACTACAGTATTGTGTGACTTCTGACTTTGTCTACTCCAGTCCAACATCAAAATCTCCACATCTTAAAATGGAGGTATTAATCACTCCACCTTTTGCTAGTCATTGCTTCAATTACTGAAGCTCTGGAATACCCTCTCTCTATTTCATTTCTACCTTTTAGACAATTCTTAAAATCTTTCACCAAGAGGTTTGATCATCTGGCCAAATATCTCATGATGTAGTTGATTGCCATATTTTTCATAGAAACAGAAAATAGAAGCAGGACCACGCCATTCAGGCTTTGAGACTGCTTTGCCATTTCAGTTTATTCATGGTTGATCATCCAATTCAGTACCTGGTTCCTGCTTTTTCTCCATACCCTTTTGATTCCTTTAGCCCTAAGAACTATATCTAACTCTTTCTTGAATGCATTCAATGCTGTGGCCTCATCTGCTTTCTGTGGCAGAAATTTCAGGCTCACTACTCCGTCTGAGTGAAGAAGTTTCTTCTCATCTCAGTCCTAAATAGCTTAACCCGTATCATTAGACTGACTCCTGGTGCTGGAAACGGAGGTCATCGGGAACAGCCTTCCTGCATTAAAGGCCTAATATAAATTTAAAAAGTTAACAAAGCAGAGAAGGAAAACAGCAAATTCTAAAATCATGAACATTTTCAATAAAGTAAAGTGAGAAGAATTGTTTCCAGGGACAAAAAAGGGCAGTAACCAAAGGATTTATGACAACTGGAAAAAGAACCAGGAGACACAAGAGGGGGGACAAAAGCTGCTGTGTTCAACAGAGGTTGGGTGGTAGAAGGCTGTGGAAATAAATAGATTGGTCAATCAGTGGCAGATGGAATTTAATTCTGATAAATGGGGGGGAACATGTGACATAAATACTTGATATATGAAGAAAACAGTTAAAGTAGAAATTAAACATTGCTCCCAAGATATTGTACAATTTATATCAAGGGAAGAGGATAACCAGGGAAAGAGTAGGGATTATTAGGGATTTCTACATGAAAATGCACAACATTGGTAGAATGTTAAATAAGCATGTCACATCTGACTTTACTTGGGAGAAGAAAGATACAGTACAGAATTCAAGAAATGATCTGTGAAGCTCTTGAGCAGATTGATACAAGAAGTGAGAAGATATTGATGGCTTTGGCAGATTTAAAAAATGGACAAATCCCCAAATCCAGATGAGTTGCATCCCAAGCTGAAAGATGAGGAAAGAAACGAAGGGGCCTGGACCCAAATCTTTAAATCGTCTGTGGCCACAGGGGAGGTGCTAGAGGGCTAGGGAACAGTTAATTGTGTACCACCCTTTTTATAAGGTGATACAGATAGATCAGAGAACTATAGCCTGATAAGTCTAACATCAGCTGTAGGTAAACTGCTGGCTAAAAGAGTGAAGGGAGAAAATTAATCTCCACTTAAAAGGCAAGATTTGATCAGGGATAGTCAGCATAGCTTTGTCAGAGGCAAGTCATGCCTCACAAATTTGTGGCATGTTTCAAGGAGGTGACAAGTGTGTAGACGAGGGTAGAGCAGCTGATATAGTTGGTTTAAGGTTCTCGTAAAGATTTGTAGCTTGGGTTGTGGATGAGGTTGCTGGCTAGCTCGCCGAGCTGGTCTGTTTATCGTACAGACGTTTCGTTACCATGCTAGGTATCATCATCAGTGCGGCCTCTGATGAAGCGATGTTGCTCTACTCCGCTTGGAATTTATATGATTCAGTCTGTTAAGTTAGGTTCTGTCATTTCTGGTTCTATTTTGCATGCATATAAATCATATAAATTCCAAGCATGGTGTCAAAACATCTGTACGATAACCAGCCAGCTCGGTGAGCAAGCCAACAACCTTGCGTAGTTTATATGGATTTCACCAAGGCCTTCAACAAGGTGCCACGTGGGAAACTGATAAAGAAGCTCATAGGATCCAGGGTAATTTAGCAAGTTGGATCCAAAATTGGCCTACTGGCGGAAACAGAGGTTGGTAGTAGAAGGCTGTTTTGTGTGACTGGAGCCGGTGTGAGAAAAGGTCACCTGTAGTGAAAAATAATTGATTTCATTATGGATCTCTATGCAGGCTGATTTGAAATGCTCCATAACCTATGAAGTAACGATCAAGCAAAATCAATAATCCTGTTTATGCCAGCCATGTAAACTCAAAGTTAAAGGAACAAAGTCACAAAGTGGAGTAATTTATGACAACAGCTATAGTCAGGTTAATAATGGCATCATTGTTAACCTTGCATCATTGTTAACCTTGCAGAGAATAAATAGTGCTCAACCACCACCTACAAGCTCCCCCCACAAGCCACTCACCAACCTAACTTGGAAACATTTTGTTGTTCCTTCACTGTCGCTGAGTCATAATCCTGGAATTCCTTCTTAACGACATTGTGGGTCAACCTACAGCAAGTGGACCACAGCGGTTCAAGAAGGCAGCTCACCACCACCTTCTCAAGGGCAACCAGGGACAGACAATAAAATGCTGGCCAAACTAGCAATGCCCACAGGAAAACAAAAGGATCTTTTTGAGGTGTACAAAATTTTGAGGAATGTAGGGCAGTTAGAAATTAATTTTTGCTCTTAGGTTAGTTACCAGAAGGCACTGATTTAAGCTTATGGACAGGAGATTTAAGGGGGTTTAAAGAGAAATCCTTTCACCCAGAAGGTGGTGGTATCTGGAACTCAACTCCTGAAAGGAATGTAGAGGTGAGAACAATCATAATATTAAAGGCCTATTTAGATGAATACTTAAAACTTCATTGCATGGGATTAGAGTAGATAGATGCCTGACATAATGGGCTGAAGGGCCTCTTTCCATGCTGCAATACTATATGACTTTATATCTTTGACCAGACTTCAGGTCACCTATACATATGTCACTCCAAGTGACAGTTCTTATCATAATGCTCCTCCTGTATTTTGTAATTATACAATGCAATCTAAATATTAGGCAAGGTTGTGGTTTGCCAGGGCCCTGTTGAGGTTATAATTCTCAAAGTGGTCTGAAATTAGCCCTTGCTGCTTCCTGTGTATTTTGTCAAAGTACTTTCCAATTTTAGTTAATTGAGAAGATATAGCAAATGAGATTCCCCATGAAGCCAGAAAATGGATGCCCTGTTTCAACAGATCCTTCTATCACTATGCCAACAGAATTATTCACAAGTTGTACACTGGAAAACTACAAAATATTTCTGGTTAATCGGTTATCTAAAAATTCAATACTTTAGCTCTTCTTTCCTACTCATATGTATCTTACATTGCTTGACACAGTGTTTTTCTTTCAATGCAACAAATGATGTTGAATTATCAGGAAGCGACAGTGTTATTACTTAATATGATCCGAAGGAATGCCTGAGACCTAATGGAATGAGAGACCAGTTAATCAATACATTAATGAACAGTTAATTGGATTTGAATCAGTTGAGAGCTAGTAGTTTACTAGAATGTGGCTAACTGAAATAAAGCTCTCATATATAAGTCTCCATTTGGACTCCGTTTGAATACAATTTTCTTTTGCAGTGTAACAACACAAAATGTTGCCAAAGATGGAAGTACTTGCCTGGCACATCAGGAGACACTGAAGTACTGTTAGTTGATTCAGGTGCCGAATTATTCTGTTCATTTAAACCACTCTCTGATGCATCAGGATCAGGTCTCTGGTTCCTAAACATCACAACAAATTTAGGAAATCAAATATTAAGAGACATGTCTTTACAGAATTACTTCAAAAATCTGCAACTTTGTAACTATTTTAACACATTAAACAAATGGTTAAACTGAAAATAAACAATAGTATCTACAAATACCCTTTCTTCAAGTAAATGCTAACTTGATAGGACAGAAAACAAACTATATCATAAGGCAATAAGTCTTCTAATCTCACATACAAAAATTTTCAGATGTTTGGAAATAGGCACTTTGGACAATGGAGCCCCTATAAATAAGTCAATGTCCAAAACCTTTTATTAGCAGTAAGTCATGTTTCAAACTCAACACATCGAGTTTGAGGAACAACTGAAAAACAGGAGAAGAAAATAGAGTACTTCCCCAACATACACCTCAGGCAGCATCACTGAAGATACAGTACCCAAGAATACTGTGTGTGCTTGTCAGCTCTAAGAGTAAATCAGGCAGTCCTATTTCTGAAGAAGGGTTCTAGGCCCGAAACGTCAGCCTTCCTGCTCCTCTGATGCTGCTTGACCTGCTGTGTTCATCCAGCTCTACACCTTGTTATCTCAGATTCTCCAGCATCTGCAGTTCTTATTATCTCAGTCCTATTCCCTTTCTTTTTCCCCTATAATCTGAATTCCTTATAGATAATCATTGAATTCCTTTTCACATTCACAACTGACTCTGCCTCCATGTAGTCCACGAGGAGATCATTCAGCCTATTATGCATGTGCCTGCTCTGTGGGAGAACAGAACATTAGTTCCAGTTTTCTATTTGTTTTCCTATACCCCACATTTTTTTTCTTCAGTATGTATCCAGTTCTTATTTCAAAGGAACCCGACTGACCCAGACCTTTTAGGTATTGGAATAAACACTTAAAAGGTCCAGGGAAGTCCTTCTTCAGAAATCTGGGGTCTAGGCCCGAAACGTCAGCCTTCCTGCTCCTCTCATGCTGCCCAATGGAGCCTGTATGCATTTCCTTCTCTGAAATGTTTACCTTTTGGCTAAAAATGCTCCAAATGAATCTTAGCTGTGTTCATCCAGCTCTACACCTTGTTATCTCAGATTCTCCAGCTTCTGCAGTTCCTACTATTTCAGAAAACTGGGACTAATTGTTCTGTTCTCCCACAGCGCAGGTACGTGCATAATAGGCTGAATGATCTCCTTGTGGACTACATAATTCTCAGAAAATAATAAATTGTGGCAGGCAAGGGCAGCCAAATGGAATGTGTGTTCTGTTGCACATGGGGAATCATGGACCCTACCAGCATCCTACATGACTTCTAATGCAAGAAGTGCTCCCAAGTGCACAAGCATGAGCTTGAGGATTCGGAGCTGCAGCTGGAGACACTGTGGCACATCTATGAGGCTGACAGACATGTGGATAGTATTACTAGAGAGGTGGCGACACTGCATCTGAAGGGACTAGGAAAAGAAAAGGGAATGAGCGACCACCAGGCAGTGAGGAAGAATCAAGCAGGCAGTGCAGGAGTCCTTTGCGGTCTCGCTCTCAAATTGATCACATTCTGGAAGCTGAGGAAGGTATTAGTACCTCAAGAGGGTGCAATCAGTGTTCAGGATTCTAGCACCACAAGCAGCCTGACTGTAGAGGAGGGGAGGAAGAAAGCAGGAGTGATAGTGATAGGGAATTCACTAGATAGAGGAACCAACAGGCATTTTGTGGCTACAGATGCAACTCCAGAACAGTGTGTTAATTTCTTGGTGCCAGGGTCAGGATATACTGAGAAGTGGCAGGGTATCCTGAAGGTGGAGGGTGATAAGACAGAAGTTGTCAGTACATATTGGTATCAACAATGTAGATAGAATAAGGGATGGGGTCTTGCATCAAGAGTTCAGAGAGCTAGGCAGTAGAATGAAGAACAGGACCTCAAAGGTTGTAATCTAAGGATTACTGCCATTGCCACAGACTATCGAGCACAAAAATAGGAGAATAGTGCTGATAAATGCATGGCTCAAGAATTGGTGCAGGAGGGAGGGTTTTAGTTTGCTGGATCACTGGGATCTTTTCTGGAAAAAGTTTGACCTCTGCAAGCAGGATGGCCTGCACCTGAACAAGAATGGGACCAACATCCTTACAGGAGGTTTGCTAGTGCCGTTGGGAGGAATTTAAACTCATTCAGCGAGGCAGAGATCAGGGTGCATTACTTCAAGAGAAATAGAGCATAACTCAGGCAGATGGAGATCAATATGTGGTGCATCTAGGGAATAAGTAAATTGAGGAGCAGTTACGTAGGCAATTCACTGTGAGGTAATTATATTAGAGAAATTCAACTACCTCAATATCAATTGGGATAATCGTAGTATAAATGGTTCAGAGGGGGTGGACTTCTTGACACATAGGTCAGTTTTTTATACCAACATGTAGACGGTCCTTCAAGGGATGAAACAGTGCTGAAAGTAGTTCTCGAGAATGAAGGTGTCAGGTGATCAAGGTGACAGTGGAACAGCATTTTAGTGATAGCGGCCACAACACCATACATTTAAAGTTTGCTATGGAAAAGGAGAAAAATAGGCTCCAAAAAGGGGGTCTTGGATTGGTTTAAGTTGGGATTTATTAAAATAAGGCAGGATCTGGTCAAATCTAGGACATGGCTGTGCCTAGTGGTTTTAATCCAGAAACTCAGCTGGCTCTGGGGACCGTGGCAGATGGTGGAATTTGAATTCAATTTTTAAAAAAATCTGTAATTAATAATCTACTGATGACCATGTATTCATTGTCGATTGTTGGAAAAAAACCATCCAGTTCACTAATGTCCTTCAGGGAAAGAAATCTGTCATCCTCAGCAGGTCTAGACTACATATGACTTCAGACTCATAGCAATGTGGTTGACTCTTAATTGCACTCTGAAATGGCCTAGCAAGCCAGTTATACCAATCACCACAGTCTCATAGAAATGAAACCAGATGGATATCGATGGCATTGACCTAGACAGAAACAGCCCTGTCGACCCTGCCAAGACATCCTTACTAATGCCAAAATTGGGAGAGCCGTCTCATAGATTAGTCAAGCAACAGCCTGACATAGTCATATTCACAGAATCATGCCTTACAATGTCCCAGACACCACCATCTCCACCCCTGCATATGCCCTGTCCCAGGACAGGGGGAGGTGATGGACGAGTGGTATTATCGCTGGACTGTTAATCCAGAGATCCAGATGACGTTCTGGGGACCAGGTTCAAATCCCGCCTTGGCAGATGGTGAAATTTGAACTCAATATCTGGAATTAAGAGTCTAATGATGACTGTGAATCCATTGCCGATTGTTGGAAAAACCCATCTGATTCACCATTGTCCTTTAGGGAAGGAAACTGCCATCCTTGCCTGGTCTGGCCTACATGTGACTCCAGACCCACAGCAATGTGGTTGACTCTGAATTACCCCCTGGGCAATTAGGGACGGGCAATAAATGCTGCCTGGCCAGCGACGCTCTCATCCCGTGAATGAATAAAGGAAAAAAAAAACTGGTAGGACAGGCCCAGTGGTGGCAGCACAGTGGCAAACAGTCAGGAGGGAGCTGACCCAGGGGTGCTGAACATTGATTCTGGACCTCATGAAGTATCCTTCAGGTTAAACATGGGCAAGGAAATCTCTGTTCTCAACTGCCTACCACAGTGCTATATAGGACAGACTTCAAATAGGTCTAGCAACTCAATACTGGACATCCATGAGGCTCTGTGGGCCATCAAAAGCAGCAGAACTGTACTCCAGCACAATGTGCAACCTCATGACCCGGCATATTCCCCCACTCAACCAATACCATCAAGCCAGGGGATTGACCCTTGCTCAACGGAGAGTGCAGGAGGACATGCTAGAATCATAGAATCCAAACCTCAGAGCATCCCACCCAGACCCATCCCCCTAAACGACACCTCCCTGAACACTACGGGCAATTTAGCATGACCAATCCACCTAACCTGCACATCTTTGGACTGTGGGAGGAAACCGGAGCACCCGGAGGAAACCCACACAGACACGGGGAGAATGTGCAAACTCCACACAGACAGTCACCCGAGGCTGGAATCGAACCCGGATCCCTGGCGCTGTGAGGCAGCAGTGCTAACCACTGTGCCACCGTGCTGCCACCGGATCAGCTCCAGGCATATCTGAAAAGGTGGCGTCAAACCTGGTGAAGCCAAATAACATAAGCAGCAAATGAGCATCCCACCCAGACCCATCCCCCTACAACCCACTTAATCTACACATCCCTGAACACTACAGGCAGCAAAAGATAGACAGAGCTAAGTGATCCCACAATCAATGGATCAGATCTAAGCTCTGCAGTCCTGCCACATCCAATCATGAATGGTGGTGGACGATTAAACAGCTCACTGGAGGAGCAAAAACAAAAAAAAAAAATTTTCTGGAAAAGCTCAGCAGGTCCGAAAGCATCTGTGAAGAGAAGTCAGAGTTAGTAGGAACTACAGATGCTCGAGAACCTGACGTAACAAGCTGTAGAGCTGGATGAACACAGCAGGCCGAGCAGCATCACAGGAGCAGGAAGGCTGACGTTTCGGGCGAAGGGTCTAGGCCCGAAACGTCAGCCTTCCTGCTCCTCTGATGCTGCTCGGCCTGCTGTGTTCATTCAGCTCTGCACCTTATTATCTCAAAAATCAGAGTTAATGTTTTGGGTCCGGTGACCATTCCTCAGAAGCCTTTGCAGAAATTTTCAGCCAGAAGTGCTGTGTGGTCCATCTTGGCCTCCTCCAGTGATCCCCAGTATTACAGATACCAGTCTTCAGCCAAGTCAATTCACTCCACATGATGTCAAGAAATGGTCAGAGACATTGATACTGCAAAGGCTACAGGCCTGATAACATTCCGGCAATAGTACTGAAGGTTTGTGCTCCAGAACGTGCTGTTTCCCCCAGCCAAACTATCCTGGTACAGTTACAAAAGTGGCATCTACCCGACCAAGTGGAAAATTGCCCAGGTATGTCCTGTACATAAAAAGCAGGACAAATCCAACCAGG